TATGTACTCCCTCCGTCCCAAAATTTTTGTTTTAGATTTGTCCAGATAGGGATGTACCTAATACTCCATCTCTCTCAGTTTACAGGGCATGCGCGTACCCCTAGGTCGTCAAATTGACCAACCTAATACAAGTCATATATTATAAAAAATATATCAATATAAACTTCAGATGTTCTATTTTTAAACCGTATAATTTTGTGTTATATAGTTTACATTAGGGTGATAAAATTGGCAACCTAGGTATACGCGCAAGACTTGTAAACTGAAACGGAGGGTACCAAAACATGACTTGATACATCCGTATTTAGACAAATCTAAGACGAGAATTTTGGGACGGAGGGAGTATTTTGTAAGCCAGTGGACAAGATAATTATAGTTATCTAGTTTCCTACTCCCTCAATTCCATAATTCTTGTCGTGGGTTTAGTTCAAATTTGGACTGAAACCATGACAAGAATTATGAAACCGGGGAAGTAAATATTTGCAATATCTAACTTGTTGTATTAGTATGATTTCATGTTCGTTTCTTTTGCAGCTTCGCCATCCTAAGATTTTTTTCAAGCTCGGGCACTGCATATGGTCTAGGTCAACCCTCCTGTCTTTATCTATTAGTCTCGTTGATTTCAGACTTTGACACCATACATTCATGTTTTCTCCTTCCAAGCGTGTTTGACACTCTCCTGTCTTTATCTATCAGTAGTCTCATAAATTTCAGACTTTGAGACCCTCCATTCATTTCCCCCCTTCCTAAGAGATAATAAGAGCACGGTTTCTTTTGGAAGGACAGAAAATTCCGGAGAGTGTTTGTCTATCCAATCCCAAGCTGATATGCGTGCTACATTATCCACTCACTGCAGTGGAATTGCTCCGAACAGCAATACACCTCAGCTATATCTGTGTGCTATTTTCTTCCCTAGACACAAAAGGTGTAAGGAGACAGCACAATGAATGTGCACCATATTCCCATCTTCTTCCTCCTACTCTTGAGTTCGTTCTACAAATCCGATGATCAGCTCACACGGGCAAAACCGCTCACCCACGGCGACACACTCATCTCCGAGAGCGGGAACTTTGCTCTCGGCTTCTTCTCCACAACCAGCTCCAACAAGAGTTTTTACCTTGGCATATGGTACCACAGCATCCCTGGCCCACGCACCGTTGTGTGGGTCGCCAATCGAGACAACGCAATCACCACCCCTTCATCTACGATGCTCTCCATCACCACCAGTTCTGATCTGGTGTTGTCTGACTCCAAAGGCCACGCTATTTGGAGGGCTACAAACAGTATCACCACAGGAGGGGCGGAAGCTTACGCTTTGCTACTCAACTCGGGGAATTTCGTCCTCCGATTGCCAAACTCCACGGACGTGTGGCAGAGCTTTGATCACCCGACGGACACACTACTTCCAACGATGAAACTTTTATTGAGCTACAAGGCCCATGCCGTCGAGCGGCTCATTGCTTGGAAGGGTCCGGACACTACTAGGAAAACGGCTATAGATGAAATGAACACTAATTGCGCACCACGTGTGTGGTGCGCCATTAGAATATAGCAATGGCGCACCACATACAGGTACGTCATTAGTAATATATTACTAATGGCGCACCTGGTGTGCGATGCGCCATTAGAAGTTTTGAAAAAAAACAAAATTTGTTACTAATGGCGCACCGTGGGTGTGGTGCGCCATTACTAGTTGACATAGTAATGGCGCATCACAC